CCAGGTGGAATAGAAAGCAAATTGCAAGTTGGGTTCTTGTTGAATTTTTTTTTTTTTTTGACTGACTTTTATGTATGCAAGAATTAAGGGTAGAATCTTAAATCTGTGGACCAGATGATTAATGTTTATTTTGTGGTGCTTGATAAATCTTAAAAAGTTTTTATTTAAAAAATAAATTATTTTTTTACAAATCTATATATAGTTTTTTTTTTTATTTTTCGTCCGGTATCCAGGGTTTCGCCCCGACTAATTCGATCTCGACCCGCGTCGCGCACTTAGAAATGGTGAGTGAATCTTTCAATGGAGGCTGCTGCGTACACAGATCTCGAACTCAAGACTTTACTTAAGTTAGAACAAGCCGCTTACCACTTAATCCAATCCCTCGTTGGTAGTATTTGCCAATTGTGTTTTTATAAATTTTAAAAAATAAAAATTTAAAATTATTTTGTTTAATTAAAATATTATTAAAAAATAAAAACAAACTTAATTTTAGTTTGAAAAGAGATTTGATTATAAAAATAATAATAATCACTAATCATTGCTTTATTTTTTCTATACACCTAAATAAATTATATATGAATTAATAATCTTCTCTTTTTTAAATATTTTGTTATTCAACTCGAAATTTAAATTAAAAAATTTTAATTTAAAATTTCAAACTCTCTTGCACCATCCCAAAATTACTAATCATCGCTTTATAAATAAATAATATTAGGTGCTTTAGTAATTTTTTTCTTTTTTCTTTTTTTTTGAAATTTACATGGAAATGTTTTGACAGGGGGAACGTTTGCGCTGTACTCGCTGATCTGCCGATATGCGAAGGTGGGGTTAATCCCCAGCGAGCAAGCGGAAGACAGTGACGTCTCCACTTTCAAGCTTGAATTACCCAGCCATCGCCTCCGTCGAGCTTCCTTCCTCAAGTCCAAACTAGAGAAGAGCAAATTCGCTAAACTTTTTCTTCTCTTCGCCACCATGCTCGGCACTTCCATGGTCATCGGCGACGGCATCCTCACCCCCTCCATGTCCGGTAATTTCCCATTTCTAATGACAGTAACAAATTTCTGCTTTTAGATTCGATCCTTG